GATACAAAAAGCAGTGTGCACATCACTCAAATTTCTTTTTTCCCGTGAATTGCAGCGAGATGCGGGACTAATGCGCCAGCGTTTTTCATGCGTTTATGTCTCTACGGTTAACGCATCGAGCATACGCCGGCACTGGAAACGAAATTATTGGTCCTGCTTGTTCGAGCACTCAATATGGTCATCTATTCTACCGCGTCCAAACGAGCATGCACAGAGGCATCCATCCCGCAGACACTGGCAGTATACCACATAATAATGCTGGTCAACAAAACAACCCCGCTCGCGCCCCTGGGGGTCGAATTTGCTTGTCAACGTCATGTGCACAAGGTCGTTTACTCGGGTGCCCGAGACAATAGGGAAGAGATTTGACTTGCGAAGGCTACGCGAGGTGAGCAGTAAGGGTTTCAAGCCTGCCTTCTCTCATCATTATTTCTTGCCCCTTCAATATACTAATTTTCGTGGCTTGTAATGAATTTATTAAAAACTTATGGTGGCATAATGCTTATATTTGAACACACAACTTCCAGTGTCTAGCTAGAATTCATTATGGGGCCTGGTGAGTCACAGACAAAGGAACAATTGTTCCTGTGCAATTGGATCTAATAATACGAAGTTAAAAGACCACCTGGCCTTTTACTGGTCTGGCTCCTGTGCTGCCTTTCTCAGCTATGCCGAAAAGAAAGAGACCCAGGAGTGTCGGGCTTTTTTGACGGTGGACACTGAATTGGAGATGCGAGTAAAAAAATTACTTTTTTTCCAAAATTATGTACATATTTTGTTTTCATTCGGTTTCACAAGTTTAGTTTCTCTACTTTCTCGACGAAAAATCTGAAGATTGTAAATACAATCGAAATACGTTATTGTTTTTAGGGAGCACAAGGTGGCTGTAACAAACTAAAACGCCTTCATTGTCTAAAGTCGCCTTGAAATCGTCACGTGGCTACTTGCCATTGCATTTCGCATGAAAACTAAAGCAACGCTACGTTCTCAAAATAACTACAATTTCCAAGCCTTCATGGTGGAAGAAAACATCCTAAAAGACTTATCTTTTCCACATAGATGAGTTTTCATTTACCCCTGTAAAATGTGTTTCCCAGAATTCATTTTTGGGCAACTTATTGAGCTTGGACATCATGTTTTTAGTACTTCTAACAGCCAGACCAGGATGAAATTTCCACTAGATATTTCTTTACATGTGAAGGGTGCAAGTATTCTGTAAAACTTAATATTGCCTGCATAATTTTTACGAACCTAAAGTGAGCAGTTAGTGGAGGCTGTTGATTCTAATAATTCTCGCGTTATAATTTTCCTTGACCATCAAAATGTTTTATATGCACCTTCGTTATAGTTATTTGCATTCTACAGTTAATGTGAAGCAATATGAGCCATTAATGGCTTAGAACCATAAAGGTTTAGTGGCATGAAAAGTTTACCCGAAGTGAACATTACTTTACACACAAGGCACAAAACAAAAACTTTGGCAACTTGCTATAAAATTATAATTACATACAATCGAAGCTCATTATTTCGAACACGTTTAGTTTGAACTTCCAGTTAATTCGAACTCACGCTGAGGTTCCGCCAAAGCTACATGTATTTCAGTGGGCGAAAATGCCCTGTAATTCAAACGCGGGAGCATTTGCGATGGTTAATTCGAACACAATGCACTCCGAAAATGTTCTCAGCACCACACCCAATCTCGCGAGGGCACCTCCGACACCTCAACGCTGTGCACGAAGGAAAATAAAAGGAAAGAAAAAACTGCAGTGGAATGTTAGCTCTCTCTCAAATGCCAATTTGCGACGCACCTGTGCCACGCTTCTCCTTTTTTCATGCCTGCCACGTAAAGATCCTTCTTCTTTCAATGCCGTGCTCGATGAGAGAGAGGAAAAACATAAAGCTGCAGTGGAGTGTTGGTTTTTTCCTGAAATGCTGATCGGCTTCTCTCCGCATGGAGACGCTCCTCCTTTCTTGTCACGTGCTGGTCAAGCTGCAGCTGCATATTGAAGATGCAGTCGTTGTTGTCATGTTTACAGAGTATAGGCGCTGGACATTGCCACGCACAACTTCTTTTGCTAGGAGAATGCTGAAGCCGAAGTAGAAATGCTTTGAAAGCAGCATGCGAAATTGACTCGCTGCAAGGCAAACATGTGCAGACGTGCATCACCGATTACTTTAAATAATGACAAATGTCATGTGATTTGTGAATAAATGTAAGTCTTGTGAAACTTCCCTCTTGTGTGTTAGCTCAATGCACATGCGCCACTGCATGGTGAGCCCTCCGTTCATCTAGCTTTCATTAATTCGAACTTCTTTTTATTCGAACAAATTTTTGGGCCCCTTTGAGTTCGAATTATTGATATTCGGCTGTATTTGAAAGTAGCATGAAAGCCTACACGTGCAGTAAAAATTTCCAGGCCCTAAACTACAAAATAACGCATTTTTTTTTTTTTTGCAAATCATATCTTTTTTTTCTTAACTCACCAAGCTTCGCAATAAAAAGGCCCTGCCGCGATGGTCTAGTGGCTAAGGTACTCGGTTGCTGACCCGCAGGTCACGGGATGGAATCCCAGCTGCAGCGGCTGCATTCCTGGTGGAGGCCGAAATGTTGTAGGCCCGTGCGCTCAGATTTGGGTGCATGTTAAAAAACCCGAGGAGGTTGAAATTTCCGGAGCCTTCCACTACGGCGTCTCTCATAATCATATGGTAGTTTTGAGACGTTAAACTCCTCAACTCAATCAGCAATAAAAAAGAGACCGTGTTCTGTAGACCATAAAAGAAAAGACAACTGCCTATGAACTATTGGCTCATTTGTGCCGCAATGAACTATTGACCACGAGATCAAGCAGAGTCACTGCCTGGCGGCAACTGGCCGAGACGGTGAAGTGTGGATCGCTCCTTGCGTCGTCTGCTAGCCACGTCGTGTTTCTATGTGCGCATACACCATGCACATTCTCAAAGTGTAGTTTGTCCCGTCATGTCAGCGCAAGTGTAACTGTTTCTACGTATGTCTGAAACAACGTACGAAAGCATTTGGTCTTGCTCGGCTGCTGATGCATTGTAATAAGATCGGCGAGTGCAACTTTTCAGAGTGCTACTTATTGTCTTGGTACCCTCTATTCACCAGAATAATTTCTGAGTCGGTGTCGTTTATTGCTTCAAGCACATCGCAAAATGCTATTGCCATCCTCCCAAGCATGAGAACTATCAAATGCTGTGTGAATGCAGCGCTTTATGGCGACTCAGCTGTAAAAAAAAAAAAAATTAGGCCATGCACTTGCGCACTGTTGGTAGGTGTGCATACGGCACTGTAGTTTGTCGATTATTCGAGGAGCCATCTTTGTGTTTATCTGGCCGTGGTACTACTACATAAAAATATTACTATGTTTCTATGTAATTATTACTATGACATAAACTGTGAGTTAAGAACGCTTTAAAGAGCACAGACGTTGAAAATTAATTCAGACGGCATGCCTTATATATAATGTCATATAACTTCACTGAAAATTTCATCTTTTTATATTGTTTTCAGCAGTTTTTGTGGCATTATTAGTAGCTTACAGAAGGCAGTGGTAATTTTTTGTCGAAAAAAAAAAAAAAAACATGCTTGTCCCATTCACCAGGCCTTTGTTGTGGCACCGTCACCACATCTAATCCATCGATGATAGCTTTCTGCTGAACTCTTGTATAAGATTTTTACCGCTACAAGAACATGTGCGTACACATGGTAAACACAATGTTGTGCAAAGCGCCGTTAGCCACTACGCTTTCACGACTAGATTTATCGACTGTCCCTCATTTCATGGTGGACGAAATGAGAGAAAAAAAATGTGCGTATAAGGTGCGGATGGTGCACCTGAACTAATTGCACAGATATGCGGGCGTTCTACAATCTTTCATTCTCTCTTTTTTTTGTAGTATGCAGATAAGAAAGATATAAATATGTAGTTCAGTCATGCTACAGAAGTTCGTAGCAGGCAGAACGCAAGCTAACCACGTACATACAACATTGCAGAAGCGTGATTTAGTGCAAAAGCGCGAAGAGAGTCACCCAGAGCAAGCATCCCCTACGAAAGGCAGAATGCGCTTTATTTGCGGGTAATGTTAATGTTGCGTAGGCGTCATGCACCGATTCAATAGAGAAGAGCGTAGATATTGACATTACACTGTAATCAACACATTTTATTCTTCAACAATTGGCTTAGACCACACGCAACGAAACGCCGCAGCATGTATTTGTATACGCGGCACTGACTGCCTATGCACATTTGCGCGGGGCGATGCTGTCACCTATAGCCCAATCTTGCCACGAATAACATTCTTTTGCAAGCTAGTAGCAAAGCAACTTGCTCACTTTCAATAAGGTAGGAGTCAGTTTTGACCTCAGCAGAAATTTAGAAGTGGTGGGTGCATTTCTCACCGCCAACCGCCAAAGTCACAGCACCAACAAAATTTTTTTTCCGTAAACAGGTCCCAGCTCATTAAAAAAAAAAAAAGTTCCGAGATAACCGTGTCCTGGATAGTATCGCGATACGGGCAATACATCGTCAAAAAATTTCACTAGTGAGATACAAATACATTTTTGAAAAGCGCTTCGATACAGTAATACAGATACTCAAAAGTATCATTGAAATACTACCACGATACTCTTGTAGCGCAGTAATGCCCAGCCCTGCTACACAACAATAATCGTAAGGCTTGGTTAATTATTCATTTAACAATGACTGTTCACGGGCGCTCTTAACATGGCAAAATAACAAACAGTCAACTGCAAAGAGGTGAAACTCAATCTGTGGATCCACATTAGCAGTAATATCATTGAAATAAAGCAAAAATAACAGGGGTCCTATCACAGAACCTTGGGGCACCCCATAGGTGACAGGCAAGCAAGCTGATGATGATGATGATCAATCGTTTACCATCATGATGATGATGATGATGGTAAACGTAGTTGCTCGGTGATTCTCACACCACCGTGCTTTGTTTGTCTCTGGTTGCAGCAAGGAGCTGGACAAGGAGTTGGAAGGGTTGGTCTTTGAGCCACAGCGCACATACTACGATGAGGCCGAGCAACTGGAGAAAGAACAAGTTCGTCAATGCTCATTCAACTTTTTTTTCTTTTATAATTTTTCAACATCTAAAGTAATCATCCGTAACGGTCAACAATAGTCAGTGCAACAGTGCTACCATTCACGGACATCCCACAAATTTTAAGAAACAATCCCTTCATAACCAGTTGCAGCTTGTTCAAGTGTTGATTATTCTGCTACTAATAAAGATATAATGTAGTTACTACCTTTAAAGGGCCTCTAAACCAACCCCAATAATTTTTTTAACGTCTGAAGTAAACACGCATGTTGAGGTCAAAATTTCATCTCACTCAATTATGCCAAGCTCAAGCCGCGGCTGCTCCGAAAAATTCCAAGAAACAGCTACTTCTCTTCTCCAGGCATGTCAGCAGTATGGTGTTGACATTTTGGTTTAATTGCGTGTCGGTCGCAATTACTGTTTGTTGAATTGCAGGTATGTGTGCTCTTTCTTCTGGAGGTGAGACGAGCCCGGAAATGTAGCTGAGTGCAGGAATGAGCAAAAGCAGCCAAGGCCTCTTCTTTGTCATGAAATGCGTGTAACCCCGCTACTGTTGCATCATTTCAAAAATTTCTCATGGTTACACATTCATTGTATACAGTCGAACACAGATATATTGAACTCAAAGGGGATCACGAATTAGATCGATATATAAAAAATTCAATATAAAAAAATGAGGCCCCTAGAGCTTACCTGTAGCAAATCATCACTGTACAAAAGGCGTTTTTAAGTATGACAACGAAATTCGCACACACGCCGCAACAGAATGATTTATTTGCGTAAAAAAAAAAAAAAGTCGCAAATATTGGCCTGCTTCTTCGTTTTTAAAATGTTTAAAACACTAGTCTCGATCTTTTCAAAGCCGTCCAAGTGCGACAGCTCGCTTCCCTCCATGTCGCCCATACAACGGCGAATGATGCCAAATGGTGCCGCCACTTCAGCGGCGGAGTACGCGCGTGTAGCCAGCACTTTGTCCGAACAATCCTCCTCGTCACATGAGGTGTCGGCCTGGACATTGCAGTCTGCTTCTACGAAGTCATCCGCAGACACTTTGTGTGGAACTGCTGCCGGGAAGCGGGACGACAACTTGCGAAATGCGTCGTCTATGCGCTCGTTGTTGTTGTCACCAGTTTCCGCAAGTTCTGCCGTCATGAAACCTACCTTGCAGAAGCAGTTGACCTCTGTGTCCAGTCTGCCCGTCTTGCCAGGAGTTGAAGACCTCCGCGGGAGAAAACTTAGCGGAGATTTCCGGCCACTCCTTTGTCATCCACTGCTGGATGTCTTGGCTGCTGACAGCTCCGTTTCCGCCAGAATTGGTTTTGCCAACGATGTTGTAGCGCTGCTTAAATCACTGAAGTCACCCGCTGTTGTCGGTGAAGTTGTTTCACTGAGTGCAGCGGCAATAACGCAACTTTTTTTTTTTTTGCGAATCACATCTCTTTTCCCTTAACTCACCAAGCTTAGCAATAAAAAGGCCCTGGCGATCAGCATCGGGCGATCCACTGGATTGTTCTTTACGCGCACTTCTAAAAACCAGGCATAGAGTGCCTTTTCTACAATCCCATGGGCAGAAGCGCGCACATGACCGGCTCCCGATGTTCGCTGCTCTGCTGCCTTTGCCTTGATATCTGCCTTGTTTTTCATCAAGGTGCTCAGTGTGCTCCATGGTATCCCGAAGTCGTCTGTGACGGTTGAACATTTCTTGCCCACCTCAACACTCTCAATAGCCTTCAACTTCGTCGCAAAGTCAAGGGTCTTGCACTTCTTGACGCCAGCCATAGTTACACAAAAAGTCGAGAATTGAAAAGGTACGCAGCGGCTTTGCACACGACGCACACAAAAGAGACATGCTGCACTTGCCGTAGTACGTAGGCGACGTGATAGCGGTAGGGTAGTGGTTAGAAAAGGAAAAAGGCACCTAATTTCTGCAGCCCAGTTGTGAGCACAGCGCAGTGCCTACGCGACAGTGGTAGCAGAAAAGCGCTTGCGAGGCGATGGCCACCTGCGAGGACAACAGCAAAAAGCCTGAGCTGTGGTTGGGTGATCAAAACTCGCAAAACAGCAAAAAAAAAAAAGAAGAAAAGAAAAGGTGAAAGGAGGAGGACATCGGCTCGGCTTCTTCGTCCCTGCTCTCCGAGCCGACGGGTACGCGAAGAAAGCAAGAGAGAGAGAGAGAAAAAAAAAAAAGACCATTCCGCAAGTTACAGATTGTGCAGTCCAAGCCCTCTCGCCCTTACCTTTTTTCGAGTGTTTTTGGTTTGGGTGGAGGCGTGGTGCCGCGCGAAGGTCGCCGGGCACAGTGCCAAAGCTCGCCGTCGAACTCGCGCGCGGAGCCGCGCTGCTGCTGAGATAGGGGGGGAGGGGGAGTGCTGAAGCACACCTTCCAGCTCGTGCGGCGTTCAATATATTTGAAGGTGGGTAAAAATACCGTTCTATATAAACCTGAAAATTTCTATACTTTTACTAAGGAATTTCAAAGTGATAACTTGCGAGTTCGATATACCCAAAAATTTGATATATGTGGGTTCGATAAAACCGTGTTCGACTGTGCTTCTGAACAGTTGCAACTCCAAAACTACATATTTACTACTGGTTGGTAAAGGGGCCCTCTAACACTAGAGGAACTTGTTCATTGAAACTATGCATGAATTCTCCTTCTATAAGCAGACTTTAGATTCACTGGAATTGCTGTTGACTTGAACACTCAGCAGACATTGCTTCACAAATTCAGAAGGTTGTCAATGTGTAAGTTGTGAGTGTCAGTAAAATTAGAAGTTGGGCAAATTGACGTTTGTTCTTGGTAACTGAAGGGGTTGTCCTCCACTTCCTTGTGTGCTGTGTATTTGGTGCCTCCCTCAGGTGTGAACTAGTATTGTGTAAGGACTGTGTTGCAACTTTTCGAGCATCACAAGGGTTCACAAGCTGCTATATCGAAGCGGTGATGCAAGCTACTTAGTTTAAGTCACTTGTAATCATATTCGTAGTGCAAACACAGATACAACTTCTGTGTATGTATTCCTTGTATCTTATTATTTGTTGCTGTGTTTGCTTTTTTGTGCTATGAATATTGTTACAAGTATCTGCTATATAACGTTTTCTAGAACTACAGGGTTTGTGAAAACAGTTAGGGTTGTGCGAATATATTCGTCGAATATTGCATTCGTAATATTTGTATTCGATTCGATAACTACATATTCGAAAATTTTAAATATTCAAAGTAACTCAAGTATTCCCTGAATATTTGTTGTTCACGAATATTCGTTTGGATATGTCAATGTGACGAACTTACGATTTTGTGCATTTGCGATTAGAGCCTCAGTAGATCATGCAGTGATTACTATGACTTTGGCACGTGTGAGGTGATGCCTGCATGGAAATTAACGCGAGTGTGATGACGGCTACCAACGAATGTGGCGGCACGTCATCATGACAAACCTACCAACCATAAACATCTTAATCAATCTGAATCATCTACAGTACTGCCTGCACAACAGTACGTGTGGCTTCGCAGTTTAGCGCATGCTGTCCACTGCTGTGTCCTTGTGCGCCGGACCACAAGTGTGTATCGCTTGTGGAAACGAAGGCAACTCGTCGCTGCCACATTGGCTCGACAAAATAGTCTTCACACTTTTGCTGGATCCCGTGCTGCGAGCATGAAAAAAAAAAGTCAGTTTCCCCGCAAGGGCAAAGCAATGAATGCGGTAGCAACAATAAATAACATGGAATGTAACTATGAGAACAGCTATTAGATCAAAAGGTGCAGTGCACTGCTCACAATTGATGCACAAATGACACTCAGGATGAGAGCTAACTAACAACGCTTACAGATCGACGCTTAACGTGCTGTTAAACAAAAATGATGCACGAAGCGTAATCACAGCTACAGATATGAATGCGAACTAACAATTGTCCTATTTGTTACTTCGCTGTGTTTGAAAAGTGTGCTCTTTTCGTAAACGGGGCCTGCCCAGCGAGTGAAGTGACCTTTGTGGCCCAGGCAACTAATGCAGTCGTTTCGCTGAAAAGCCAAGGCACACAATTCTGCCCACCAAAGGATAAGCGTGCGCACAAGCACTTAACCACCCCCTCTCCCCTGCCCCCATCCCTGGGCAAAGTACGTGTGGGAGAGAAGCGCATGTTGGCGCATCGCGATGATGCGGGGGCCAAGTGCGACGGCCTTTTTTCTTTCTTGAGTTTTCATATATATAGATACATATACATACACAGTGCTTGAGGACGACGGTAACGGCGAAAACCAGCTGAGACTCCATATAATTGGTATCGCAATAGAAATATCTCTACACAAGTGCGAATGCGCGCACATACGTTACAGGGCGTGGTGATGATGGAGTGAGCTTAGTAGGCGATGCACTGCACCAAACTAGTTAAGGGCGCGCTCAGCTTGACGTACAATGGTAACGCGTTTCGTGTATAGCCACGCTAGTTTTCGCTAATGAATCACCGTAAAAACATACCGTGCCGACCTTACAGCCACGTCACGCGCGGCTGAGAGAGCGGTCTTTCTCGCACAGCCAGCGGAGAGGATTGAGGAAGCGCTCAGCGGGTCACATGACCAAGAAGCAGTGCCGCGGTGCAAAGCGATTTCCCTCTACCTGCCTCAAAGACGACGGCAATGACTGCGTCTCCGCTGCTACTCTCTGCGCTAGGCACTGCCAACGCCTCCTAGAACTTGAAAATATTTAGGAGGTGTTGGCACTGCGCTGTGCTCCCCACCGAGCTGCAGTTTTTTTCTTTTTCCTCTCTCTTCGTGCACGGCCTTGAAAGGAGAAGGGTCTCTACATGCAGAGACGAAAAAGGCAGAAGCGTGGCACAGGTGCGTCACAGATCGGCATTTGAGAGAGAGCAAACAATCTGCCACAGTCTTTTCTTTCCTTTTCTTCTTTTCCTTCTTCGCATGCAGCGTTGAGAGGTGCTGCCGCAGGATCGGGCATGATGCTGAGAGCATTTTCGAAGCACGGTATGTTCGAATTAACTACCGC